TAAAAATAATATAATAAAATTTGAAATGTAAATTTAAAAACATGAAAATTTATCCATTGAAGAATAGAAGCTATTGTGAAATTTAATTTATAATAAAATCGAAACAAACATTTTTTTTAGTTTTAACAAACCAATTATAAGTTCTAATTAAATTTTTTTTTTCCATAGAACTAGATGAAAACCGTATCACTCTTGGATGAATATTGTTAATTAACTTTTATTTTTATTTATTTTATACCCTTTAGCCAATTTATTAAATTAAATTTTTTTTTAATATTTTGAAATCAAATTTTTTTATGGTTTTTTCTTAATTTACTGTGAGTTTTTGAAAGTATTAAACCAAAACAAAAAAAATTTCTAGGTCATAAAAGCTTTATCATTCCGCACTGACAACAACTATTTCCGTGAGATTTAGTCGCGTGGGTTGAAAGCGGGATTATTTTCATTTCTTTAGAGCAAATATTTTGTGTGAAAATTGATTTGAAGTTCATCTTTTACTTCCTCGTGAGATTTGTATTTGTTGAACACATTTTTTTTTTTTTTTTTGTATTTCGTGCACACTTTTTGTTGATGTTCACTTTCAGGGATGACATAATATTTTATTTATTATTTTTATATTTTTTTTAAAGGTTTTTTTTTATAATTTTTTGAAATGAAAATATACATTAATTATTATAAATAAAGAAAAAAATACGAGAAAGCTAAAAATTTGTTTGCAATGATTGTTTCTATATTTTTTCATCTGTGGGAAATATTATATTTTACAGAATTGTTTTATTTTTTTTAATTTCGTTAGTGTTATTAAATTGGAATAAATTTGAGATATTGAACACATTTTCGTGCTGATGAAGTCAAATTTATTTTTAGCAATACACATCTGGAAGATGATTAATGTTTGGTGGATAAATTTAATCACTGTGTTGTACTTGAATATACCAATGATAATAATTTGTAAATCACAACAGAAACCAAATGAAAACAACTTTTTGTTTTTTAATGTTCCACTATAAAAAAGATATATTTGACTCAGAACCAACCAAACTTTTTATTTGGTTCAAATAAATTTTATTTGGTCTTAATAAATTTTATTTTCTTCAAATAAATTTTATTTAATTTAAATCAATTTTATTTGCTTCAAATAAATTTGATTTGCTTCAAATAAATTATATTCGGGCTGAATAAATTTTATTTGCGTCGATGAAAATTTTTATTTAAGACAAATAATCAATTTTTATAATAATAAATAACAGAATAAAAAATTAGGCTCTGAGACAAATATACTTTTACTGAGCTCAAATAAATTATATTTGCTTTAAATAAAATTTTTCTCTGCGTATGAATCCATCTAGCGATTTTTATTTTAATCGTTACAAAAAATGTAGAAAATTAATTATTATAATTTAAGCACAATTGTCTTTTTAAAAAGTCGAATCTTTGATTCGCCTTAATTAATATTTCATAAATAATCTAGTTATTTTTTAATATGAATTACTAATTTATTTATTTACTTATAAATATTATATTATTATTTTACACACTATTTGTTAAATAATTATTACATTATCATTTTATACCTATTATTTATTTAATAATATTGTATTATTTTTTTATTAATATTATATTATTATTTTATTTATTTATTAATATTGCATTATTATTTTACTCGTGAGTGCATTGCAAATTTATTTTATATGCAGTGCGCGTAAAGGAAAATGTTCAGCACTTGAGTTATAACAGAGAATAGTTTCTGAAATGTGTGACATTTGAGTGTTAAACCTGATTTTCAACGTGGATTCAGAAAATCTCTTTTTGAGAGAAAGAGACAATATTACAAGTAAGTGTGAATAATTAAATTTTAATAGTTTAAATAATTAAATATGTAAATCTTCCTTTGTTAGAGAGAAAGACAATATTTCAAGTAAGAATAAATAATTTAATTTCTTTGTGAAAAAGAATTTTTATTAAAAGTACTTTTCAATTTTTTCAATTTCTGACAAAAATTATTTAATGAATAATTTTACATAAATATTTCAAAATTAATTGGGATTTAAAAGGGTTGCCTTTACAATTTTTATATAAATAAATGAACTTCAAACGGTTTCAATTTGAAATTTTATAAAATTTCAATGTTGAATGAGATTAATTAGAAATTTTAATGAACTTAGATTTATTAAAAAAATTTAATAATTCAAAAGCTTTTAAAATTAGTTAAATTTTTCAATACATATTTAATTATTTATTAAAAATAATGAATTTATAGAAGAATTTTAGTTAAAAACACTACAAAATTTGAATTTTAAAGAAGTTACAAATGATTGCAGAAATTCAATTATTTTCAAAATTAATAAAATTCTTATCACAAAACTCAATTATATTCTAAATTTACAAAAATATCTCGACAAAATACCCATTATTATCTTTATAAATTAAAAAATTCTTCTTTAAAATTCAATTACTTTCAAAAATTTTAATAAAATTCGTGTCAAAATTTCAATTATTTTCAAAAATTTTCCTCATTTCAATGATTTTCAATATCTACTATTTTAATAAAAATACCCAAAGGAATTCGATTATTTATAAACAATTTTAATAAAATTGTACGCAAATATTTAATTTTTTTCATAAATAATAAAAAATTTACTGAAATTCCATTATTTTCATAAATAATAAAATTCTTAATTTTAAGAAACATTCAATTGTTCAATAAATTATTTATTTTTGTATTTAAATAGGTAATTGAATCTTGTGGAATTTTCTAGTATAACTTGATTTTAAAATAAATTTGTATTACTTTTTTAAATTAATAATCGAAAAATTCAGTTATTTTCACAAATAAAGTTTTCCACAAGAATTCAATTATTTAAACTAATAAAATTTTCATAATTTTGATTATATTTCGAAAAAATTAAGTATTTAAAACAACGTTCATAAAATTCTTATGAAGAATTTAATTACTTTCAAAAATAACAAAATTTTTCACAGAAATTTAATTCTTTTTAAACATTTTAATAAACTTTTCAGCAAAAATTAAATTATTTTCAAAAATAATAAAATTCTTCTCTGTAATTCAATTATTTTTGAGAATTATAATAAAATTCCTAGCAACTATTCAATTTTTTTAATAAATAATAAATTTCATAGCAGGATTTCAATTATTTTTAATACAATTTTACAGGAATTGCTCAAAAAATGTAATTATTCTTAAAAATTTTAATTTCAATTCCTCGAAAAAATGAATTATTTAAAAAAATATTTTTTGGAAGGATTGAATAATTATTTTCAAAAATTTAATGAAATTGTTCTAAAGAAATTAATTGTTTTAAATACAATTTTAATTAAATTTTTTTGAAATAATTCAATTATTTTTTTAAATTTTAATTAAATTTTATCTAAGAATTCAATTATTTACACAAATAATTTTTCGAAAGAATTCAATTATGTCAATAGATAAGAAAATTACTCCTGAAAATTCAATTATTTTGAGGTATGTATTTTAATAAAATTCTTTTCAAAATTCAATTATTTTCATAAATAAAAATATTCATCACAATAATTCAATTAATTTTAAAAGTAATAAATTTCTTCTTGGAAATTCCATTATTTTAAAAAATTCCAATAAATCGTTCGCAAGAATTCAATTATTTTGATAAATAATAAAATGCTTTTTAGGAATTCACCTATTTTCAAAAAAATTGAATAAAAAGCCACACAGACATTCAATTATTGTCAAAAATTTTAATAGAATTCTTTGTAAAATTTAATTATTTTTAAAAACTTTTCGCAATTCAATGATTTTTAATATCTACTATTTTCATAAAATTTCCAAACAGAATTCAATTATTTAAAAAATGGATTGTAAAAATTTTTGTAAGAATTCAATTCTTTTCATGGATAATAAAAATTTTCATCAATTCAGTTATTTAAATTAGAATTTGCATAAAATTATTCGAAAGAAATGAATTATTTAAAAATTTTTATAAAATTCTTCGCAAGAATTAAATTATTTTTTACAAATATATTTCAAATTCTTTCATCTTTTAATTGAATTGCGAAAAGTTTTTAAAGATAATTAAATTTTACAAAGAATTCTATTAAAAAATTTGGCAATAATTAAATGTCTTTGGGAAATTTTATTAAATTTTGTTGAAAATAATTGAATTCCTAAAAAGCATTTTATTGTATTTAAAACAATTAATTTCTTTCGAACAATTTTTATTAAATTTTTGAAAATAATTATTTAATCCTTCCAAAAAATATTTTAAAAAAACATTTTTTTAAATAATTGATTTTTTCGAGGAATTAAAATTAAGTTTTTAAGAATATTTAATATTATTACATTTTTTGAGCAATTCCTGTAAAATTGTATTAAAAATAATTGAAATCCTGCTATGAATTAAATTATTTTTTATAAATATATTTTAAATTCTTTCATGAATAATAAAATTTGTAGCAGGAATTCAATTTATTGTCAGGATAAGAAAAAAGTAAATATTTTTGATAAAATTTAGGAAAAAGTTAGGAAAATAAAAAATATGGAATTAAATTTTTGTCAATTTTGTGAAGTGAATAAAACGAGTTTTTTTGGGGGGTTTTTTTGACATTAAAAAAAATGACAATAACCCAGAAAAATTAATTTTCAAAACAAACAAATGAATGCAGAGAATTTGCTAACGGAAAGGGAAACTTACGATTATTATAATGTATAATGTATGTATATGTATATATCGCGAGTGGAGTTTGAAAAAAAACCGTTTCCTTAAAAAACGAAAATACTCTCCGAAAAGCGAGTATCAATAAAGCAATGGAAATAAGTTAAAATTTGAATCACTATCTTCCTGTATAATATTATAATTATAATATATATATATTATGTTTACCTATAATCGAAAATATTTATTTGAATATTCAACTACCTGGTATTCCCCACTTGAACTTCAAAGTATAAAGCAAGTGTCCCCACTCTTAAAAGACAATTTATACTCTTAACCCATCAAGATGAATGCTCTGTGCTCAGTTGGGACCGCAGGTACAATCAGGTACGATCTGCCGTACGTTTAAGATCGTTTAAATATTTTTCTCACTTGTTTTTCATTTTATATTTTTCATATAATAACAAATAATAATAATAATTTTAACCGGTAAAATGAAAACCGCTAGATAGCCGGTTTAAAAACGGGATAAAATTTTTATATATAAATATATATATATACACATATGAAAAGTAAGTCATTGATTGAGAAGTGCGTCAGTGAATGTATATATTAAAGCATCCGGCTGATGTGTGTGTAGTTGCTATAAAGTGATAAGGACTATTATATTATCTATGGTGCGTGGGTACCATTCAGTTGGTGACCGCGGTTGCTAATCTTAAGTTCAAATTCATGGATCTTGTAGTTTTTTGCAATTTAAAAAATTTTATTTTACAAACAAATTGAAAAAATTTGAATTTTTGCATTAAAAAAGAGGAATAATTAGAAACATTTTGTGTCCAAACAAAAATGTGTGGAGAATTATTTTGTTTTCTGAGGATACAATTGTTTACGACGTTATTTATTTTAGTTGTGAGTATTTTTTTCCATTGTTAATTAATTATTTGACAAAGAAAAAAAATTATTTTTATACTTATTATTCACTTATTCAATTTTCTATTTTGGAATATTGTAAATATTTTTTTTCCTACTCTACAATTTTCCATTTTGGGAAATTTTTATTTAGCGAAATTTGAATATTTATTGTTGAAAGGTCAAAGTGGAACTTGATTTAAAAGACAATTCATAAATATGGGTAGCAAAAATACTTTTGTTTCAAAATTCATTCGATGGCAATTAGTTTATTAATAAAAATTACTAGCATAACGGAAAAAGGGATAATAAAAGCGAGAATAATAATTTTTAATAATTAATAATAATGTCAGTAGTGCAAGTATTTTTATATAAAACAGTTTGAATAAATTTTGTAATTAATTATTTTAGAATAGTTATATAGTTATTTTATCATAATAATAATTATAATTATTCTATAACTAATTATTTTCTTACAATAATAATTACCATTATTTTACAGTTGATTATTTTATAATGATAATTACATTTATTTTGTTGTTAATTATTTTATCACAAATAATAATTTACAATTATTTTATAATTTATTTACTTACAAATATAGTACAGGTCCCTTCGTACAATTAGTGCGAATAATAATTAATTTTCAAGTCAGAAAATTATTTTAATAATTAATTTTTATTTTATAAATAAATATAAAAAATTTGTTGCATTTAAATTTTCCCTATTCGCGTTAATTTTGTGATTTTACTGCGCGAAGAGAGTGGAAATAATTAAAAATAAAATTGCAATTATTTTATAATTTGCATTTTATAAATAAAATTTTAAAAAAAATTGTTGTATATTTAAATTTCCTTGGTTTCTTTAGTTTTGTGATTTTATTCTTGGGCAAAGAACGAGTGGAAATAATTGAAAAAGTTTGTAAATCTTTGTTTGAAAGAAGTGAAATAAAATGAGAGAATATTGAAGGAAGGTAAAGTTTACCCAAATTGCAGAACTGTTGTTGTGAATAGCATTTAAAGACAAAAATTATCCCTTCTTCTCAGGTAGCAATTACAGTTACAGGAGGTATTAAGAGTTTAAATTTCACAGGTGCACATTTATTGCAACCCCAAGAAAAAGGTGTATTGTACATAAAAGAAAATTGTTTTCTATAGTTTGCAAAAACCTTTTCAGAACACTATTTTCTTATTTTATGCACTTTACATTTATATTTTTGAAATAGAAAAACGAATTTTTAATTATTTCTGCGAATTTGAAAATATTATTTTTATATTTCTTCGAATATTGTTCTTTTTTAATTCGAATTTTGTTTTTGTATTCGAAAATTGTTTTTTATTTGAATTTTTTTATTTGAGTTTTGTTTTTGTATTCGAAATTTGGTTCTTTATTCAAAAAATATTTGAATTTTGTTTTTGTATTTGAAATTTGGTTCTTCATTCAAAAAATATTTGAATTTTGTTTTTGTATTAGAAATGTGGTTCTTTATTCAAAAAATATTTGAATTTTGTTTTTGTATTCGCATATTGTTTTTGTATTCGAATTTTGTTTCTTTATTCGAAAAATATTCGAATTTTGTTTTTGTATTCAAATATTGTTTTTTATTCGATTTTTTTTATTTGCGTTTCGTTTTTGTATTCAAACTTTGTTTCTTTATTCGAAAAATATTTGAAAAATGTTTTTGTATTCGAATTTTGTTTCTTTATTCGAAAAATATTTGAATTTTGTTTTTGTATTCGAATATTATTGTTTTATTTGAATTTGATTTTTAATTCGATTTTTTTATTTGAGTTTTGTTTTTGTGTTCAAATTTTATTTTTATTTGAATTTTGTATTCCAATATTGTTGTTTTATTCAAATTTTATTTTAATTTAATTTTTTTTATTTGCATTTTGTTTTTGTATTAAAAAATTGTTTTTTATTCGAATTTTTTTATTTGAGTTTTGTTTTTGTATTCGAATTTTGTTTCTTTATCCGAAAAATATTTAAATTTTGTTTTTGTATTTGAATATTGTTGTTTTATTCGAATTGGATTTTTTAATTCGATTTTTATTCTTTGGATTTTGTTTTTGTATTCGAATATTGTTTTTTTATTTGGATTATATATTATTTGAGTTTTATCTTTGGATTCGAATTTTGTTTCTTTATTCGAAAAATATTCGAATTTTGTTTTTGTATTCGAATATTGCTGTTTTCTTTAAATTTGATTTTTTAATTCGATTTTTTTTAGTTTTCTTTTTTTATTCAAATTTTATTTTTATTTGAATTTATAATTTGAATTTTTTATTTGAATATTGTTGTTTTTTAAATTTCTATTTAGCTTTTTTAATTCGAATATTTTTATTCGAAGTTTTTTTATCTGAATTTGATTTTTTCATAATTCGAATTTTCTTTTATTCGAATATTGTTTTTTCAATTCAAATTTTGTTTTTTATGCAAACATTGTTTTTTGTTTGAATTCTTTTTTTATTTGAATTTTTTCTATTCGAAATTTGCTATTATTCGAATTTTTTCTTCCTTTTATTCGAACATTTTCCTTTTTGCTATTTTTGAAAATGACAAAAGTTCCTCTTTATAAAAATCTCATTAAATTTTTATTAATAAAGAACGAAATATAATTGGAAGTTGGATGAATTAAATTTAAAGTCGATTAAAATACAATGAAACGCGAAAGAAAAAAATTTTTTCATTATCGCACAGAAGCAAAAAAAGAAAATAAAAAAAGAAATAACGGAACTTGAATTACTTGCAAACGATATCATCTCACTCGATTGACTGGAATGCAAAATTTTTATTACTGCAGCAAATTATTACTGCGAAATTGCACAGTTAAATAATTTACAATTATCGCGTATAAATTTTTTTTGTTTTCAAACTGTATTTTCATTGACACTAAATTTAATTTTACTGCATTGTCCTTTCATATATAATTGATATAAAATCGTTCTACATTTCACTGAAAACTTAATTTTCAATTAAAAAAAAGAAACAATTTGTTTTTGAATTAATATGAATGATATAATTTTTTATTATTTTGAATCATTTGGAATTATTTTGGATTAGAAAATATTTAAAATAATAAAAACAACGATACAACTACAATAGAACAAAAAATGTTATTTTCGACAATTATTTTGTATAAATAGATAATAATTGATACCATAGTAAGCGCGTATTTTAAATATATTTTTTTATATAAACGAGGAAATGACAAATGAAAATTATAAAATTTCCCATTTTGAATTATTCATATATTGTGCATTAAATATACATTGAAAATAATCGATCTTTAATGTCATTATAATAAGTGCGTTTAAAAATAAATTTTCTTTTAAATATAATTAAAAAAAACAAATTTTTATTAATTAAATTATTAATTGTATTAATAAAACTTTTATTAATTTTATTAATAAAAATTTTATTTGAAATTTTTAATCAAATAAAATTTATTTTAAAGAAATAAATAATTCAGTAGACAAATATAACGGTTTTCTATATGTTTAATGTTTATTAATAATTTTTAATGTTGAGTTGAAGTTTTATTTTAATAATATATTATGTTTGTTAAATAATTATTATTATAAAGTTATTTTAAATTATTGTACAGTAAATGTAGAAAATAAATAAATAAATTAAATAACGTGATGATATTAAAATGAAAAGAAATAATTTGAAAAAAATAAATAATATTAATATTAATGAAATAAATAATAAAATAATGTAAACTCCATATATTATATAAATATATAAATTTCTCGTATAAAAGTAAATGGATTTTTATATACATTTTCCTGTATAAATTTTTTTTTTATCATTTTGAAAACTAACAAAAATATCTCTAGATTTATAAAATGCAAATTATTTAATGAAACCGGATTTTTGACCGGTATTCAACCATCTTGACCTTCCTTTATATATGTGAGAGAAACAAGTTTGTCAGTCAAGTATAAATTATTCTTCTAGACAGATATATAATGCATTTTAATGTGAATTGGAGTATATAAAGAAATATATTAATTAATGATAAAGTCATCATTCAAAACATCATTTTTTTTTTTTTTTTTTTTTTTTTTTTTTTTCTAATGAATATTGGAAATTGAAATATTGAAATGTATTTCTTTTCCTCAAATTATCATTTTTCTTGCTATTAATGACATTTTCAATGATGTACTATTCGTAATTTTTAAACTGCAATGCATTTTGATTGATTTGCGTGAGTTTGCATGTTATGAATATAACGGAAAATTTTTATTCTCTCTTTTGTTCTCGTAAATGATTGAAGGGAAAAAATTTGAAAATATCTTTTTTTTTGACCTTTTACTATTATTGATATTCCATTTTCAAAATAGTCGGATGTAGGAAAAAATTTTTTTTTTAAATTCTAATTCGAAACACTTTGGAATTTAAATTTAAAAAATACGAAAAATTGAAGATAAATTTTTTCTTTTAAGTGGAACTTAAATTTGGAATTTTAATTTCTAGTCTATAAAAATGATTAGTTATGGAATAAAAATGATTAGTTATGGAAAATGTTGAAATTAGGAAATTTTAATGAAAATGTGTATATATCATTCATATTGAGATACGATGACTTCATTCGGGGAATATTTTTAAATTTCCTAAGCAGCAGTTAAATGACATTTTTAAACATATGATGGAACTTTTGTTTGTCTATTCATCTAATATTCAAATTTTTCATTAGCATAGATGAAAAAAAAATTTTTTTTTCCTTTCTTTGTACAAATTCTATTTTTCTTTATACACTATGAAAATATGAGAAAATTGATTTTTATTTTAGAACCAAATTTTTATTTAAATTTTTTTATAGATAAATTTAGAAAAAATTAGAATTTTTTTTTGTAAACAGTTGTGACATGTGTGTATACAATACTTATTAAATTCCGATAGAATTATACAGAGAAGATTTTGACAGAATGAGAATAACTATTTTGAAACACGCAAATGATATTTCGAATGTGTTCATGTGTTTAATAAGATTCACTTGAAACATTGTGACCTCAATGAAAAGTGAATAAAATTTGTAGTAAATTATAAATTTAGTAAATTTGTAATAATTTTTTTAATAATTATTCTTTTTTTCTTTATTTATTTTTGAAAATACGGGGGTTTAAAAAAAGAAAAAATTTTCTGTGCAATGTTCCGAATTTTACAAGGAAATATTAAATAAATATTTCTGAAATACGTAAAAATGATATTAAAATTAAATTAATAGTAATACAATGAATGAAAATTAATAATAAAATAGATTAAAATTAATAACAAAATAAAGTACATTTAAAGGTATTCCACAATAATTATATGAAAAAGTGAAATTAAAACTAAAAAAAAACATCAAACTATTTAATTAAAAAAATTTTAGTACACTTCTTCGTTTTTTGTTCATTTAAAAGTTATTTGCACTCTATAAGCGTAAAATCAATTGAGACTACAGAGAATTATTATTCTTATGGGATAAGTGAAAAAGTTGTTCATAATTCATAAAAGTTTCCAGTTGAAAAGTGAATTCTTTTGAAAATCAAACTATTAATTAATTTGTCAATAAGTTTCTCATCTCTTCAATTAAAATTAAAAATTAATTATCTTCTTACCATATACAGTACGAAAACCTAGCACGTCAGTCATATCCCATGAGTGGGAGTGAGACAGACTTATGCGATTCCCATACTTTCCTATGACTGACGGATAGCTTTTCTTACTGTATATATAAATTTCAATAATTAAATTTTTACTATTTTATGGATAAAAAAATAAATTAATAAATTAACCAATTAATTCAAATTACTTAATTTTTAATTATTCAATTTTATTTTTTAAAAGTAATTGAAAATAATTGAAAATATTTGAAAATATTGTTAAAAATAATTGAAAATATTGTTACTGCCAATAATTGCAAATATTATTAAAAATGATTGAAAATATTATTGAAAATAGTTGAGATTATTATAATAATTGAAAATATTGCTAAAAGTAATTTAAAATATTTGAGATTATTATTGTTGGAAATAATTGAAAATATTAAAAATAATTGAAAATATTATTGGAAATAATTCAAAATATTAAAAATAATTGAAAATATTACTGGAAATATTAAAAATAATTGAAAATATTAAAAATAATTAAAAATATTTGAGATTATTATTGTTGGAAATAATTGAAAATATTAAATTGAAAATAATATAAATTTTAACAAAATAATGTAAAATTTGAATGTTTTCTAATTTATTTTAGATGATTCAAAGGGTCACGAATTTCCCTCAAAAGACTGACTACATGTATCAATCAAATAATTATAGAAGAATGAATCCACAATTTCAACAAAGAACACAAAATTTCTCATTCAATGAAAATGACTCCAGTCAGGGGAGAATGACAAGTGACGATACGCACCGTGGTAATTATTTTTTTTTCCATTCAAATTACATTGAAATTAAATTAAATTAACCAACATTTACATTTACATTTACTAACAAAAATGCATGAAAATCAATTTTTCAGTAAAATAATAATTGTGCTTACAAAAGAAAAATTCAATTATTGCAGAGATTTTTTTTTTTTTTTTTTTTACATAAAAAGCTAAATATTGCCTTAATAATAAAATACTAAATTTGCAATAAATTTTAAGTGAATAAATTTGAAAAGAATCTTAAATTAATAAATTTGAAAGGAAGTTTAATTTGAAAATTTTTTAATAAATTTTACAAAAAAAATTGATATGAAAATTTTACATAAATTTAGTTACAGAAAAGATAATTTATTGATAGTAATACTGAAAGTAATAATTAATTATTTGAAAGCAATTTTATTTTCAGCAGTTTTTAGATTAATAATAATTATTAACACTTAAAATATTTACAATAAGCTTCGTGTTTAATATTTTTCAAGTTTATTTATTTTTTTTTTTTAATTAATAATTAATATTAACGCTTAATTTTTATAATAAGCTTCGTCTTTTTTTTTGTTTCTGGTTTTCATCATCAGGTGATAATAGGTACAACATGATTAAATTTGAGGAAACAATTGCCTCTCCCTTGAGCATTTATTTTAATTCTCGTTTTGATTTCCCGGGTAAGGAAATGTCCTCGACAACTCAAAGGCCAAGATTTAATTGGGGCGTTAACAATCGTCAAAAAGTAACAAATCAAAAAACAATTCCTGGTAATATTGAATAATCAAATAATTTTTTTAGCATTAAAAAAACAAAAATTATAAAAACAAATATTATAAAAAATATTATAGAGCCGAAATAAGTGAAACTGTGGCCACTTGAAAAATTTTTCCCCCTACAATATTTTACAAAAAAAAAAATATTTATTTTTGAAGTAATCAGGCCTGATTACTTCAAAAATAAAATTTTTTTTTGTAAAATATTGTAGGGGGAAAAATTGTACTCATATATCTACCAAAAATCATAGATAACTTGAAAATTGAAGACAAAAATTTTTTAAGTTGACGGTTTCACTTATTTTGGCTCTATAATAAATAGAATAAATAATATTTATAACTTTTTCTAAATCATTAGAAATCAAATTATGGCATTGATTTAGAAAAATGTATTTATTTTTTAAATTCACAAATTATATTATTTATATAAATATTGTATATACTTGAGTATTATGTAGGTTTTTTTATTGATAGGTGACTTTTAAATATGTGCCTATTGCCAACCTGAACGCTTTCTTTCATTCTACAGACACTATTCATCTGTTTCAATATTAATAATATTATTAATAATAACAAAAATAGTAATAATAATAAAATAAAAAATTAATAAATTAATAATTGTAATTATATTTATTTATAATTTATTATTATATTTAGTTCATGCCTTTCAGCTTTGAACTTTCTGAATAATAATAATAATGATAATAATAATAATAATGATAATAATAATAATAATAATAATAACAATAATAATTATATTAATTTATTTATTGCTTATTATACATTGTTTATGTCTTTGGGCTTTGATCGTAAATAATAATAGTAATAATGATATAGTAGGGGAACATAGTCTAGGTCGGCCACCTTTTTGACTTTTGTTTATAACTTTTTTTTAAAAATGAATTTGGACAATTGAAGTATATGGTTGGAAAGTCCTGTTTAATAGGAACATTTTTTCTGTACAAAGTAAATTGACAGGTTTAAAAATGAAAAAGTTATAAAGATTTAAAAAAAAAAAAATTTGTAGTCCAGGTTGGCCATTACAGTCAAGGTCGGCCATGTTTAAAATTCAAAGGGCATTAATCGTTAAAAAATAAAATAACATGTTTGGAGTTACGGAAAATTGATTCTTTATTGTTTACAGTTTGTAACTTAATGAAATAACAAAATAATAACAATAAACAATATAAAAAAATAAATATAAATAAAAAAAAGTTTTGCACTAAAATATTAATAAAATTAAATAAAAATATTAATAAGATGATCAATTATATTATGAGTTATACAGAATTGCAGTTTTTGCAAATGAAGTAGCTCGTCCTCAACTTTGCGCATTTTAAACACATAGTGGCCGACCTTGACAGTAAGTAACATTACCGAATTGTTGTAACCATAAAGAAATACGTTTCGGGATTCGATTTTTTACTTTGTTTTCCTTTCAACCATGAGTCCCACAAATTTTCTGCATACTTGCCTTGACGATTCAATTTGTTTTTTATCTTTTATTAATGGTTTTTCACATTATGCACAAAACTTTTTTTGAGCTTTTTTTGTACCGACGTCACAGAAAACACAATTTTCGATTTTCCGAAAATGTAATTGAACAAAAAGTTAGGTTTCACTAAGACAAGCTTCGACAAAAATGCGCGTAGGTGGCGCTAGTGAACTTGACAAAAAAACGCGAGTGGCCTACCTAGACAGTAGGCCAACCTTGACTACATTCCCCTAATAATAATATTAATAAAAATAATAAATTAATAATAATAATAATAATAATAATAATAATAATAATAATTTATAAATATGCATTAACAAAATAAAATTTGACAAAAATTGTTCTCTTTTTCGATATATTGACAGCAACTAAAGACACGTATGATGATATAAGTTCGAGGATAATATTTCCTGGTCAGGAGAATGTTCCAGTGCGAACAGCAACAAATAATCTCGTTCCAGTTTGTAAGGAGAAAACATTTTGTGAAAATGTCACAAATTATCCGGAAGATTTACTTAATAATATCATTAAAAAATCTGGGGACTTGAAAATTTTTACAGGATCTGATGTTGTGAGTAAATCTTTATAGTCAATTATAGGATTTAAATCGATCCAATAATTAAATTTAATTGGACTAAATAAAATTTTTTTGGTTCAAAAAAAATTCATTTGGATCAAATTACATTCATCTGGACACAAGAAAAATTATTTGATTCAAATTAAATTTATTTGAACCAAATAAACTTTATTTGAATAAAATTATATTTTTTGTAACAAAATGAACATTAATTTAACCAAATAAAATTTATTTCAACCAAATAAACTTTTTTTGAATAAAATTATATTTATTTGAACAAAATGAACATTATTTTAACCAAATAAAATTCATTTGAATCAAATTAAATTTATTTGAACCAAATAAACTTTTTTGGATAAAATAAACTTTATTTGAATAAAATTATATTTATTTGAACAAAATGAACATAAATTTAACTAAATAAAATTTATTTGAACTAAATAAACTTTTTTTGAATAAAATAAACTTTATTTGAATAAAATTATATTTATTTGAACAAAATGAACATTAATTTAACCAAATAAAATTAATTTGAATCAAATTAAATTCATTTGAATCAAAATAAACTTTATTTGAATCAAATTACATATATTTATTTGAACAAAATGAACATTATTTTAACCAAATTAAATTTATTTAAATCAAATTAAATTTATTTGGACACAATAAGATTTATTTGAACCAAATTAAATTTATTTGGACAAAATAAACTTTATTTGGATAAAATAAACTTTATTTGAACCAAATTTTAGGAACATTATCAACAGTAGTTTTGAATCAATAGAGAATTAAGAATTAATTAAATTAAAAATATATAATTAAGAAATTTAAATTTCCGACAATTTAAATCAATAACGATATAAATAATTTATAAATATAAAAATAAATTGTAATTTTTTTCCCTTTATTACTTCAATTCTTTCTCTCATATTTTCGCATTTTTTCGAATTCAGGAATTGGATATAGCGCAGAGATTGGACTTTGATGCTGACTATTCACTTTGCAATTCAAACGTAAGTATTTTCATTTATTTTATATAAATCAGAATATTCAATTTACTCTTCTATTTTTCATAAACAATTGAAATTCCTTCTTTTTTTTTAAGGAACGAATTATTTATCCCAAAGCAGCGGAAGCACAAAATGATAAGTGGTATTTTATAATAAATATGAAGAATTTTACTCAAGGAGTAAGAGTAGAAACTTGCAGGTAATTATTTCAAATTGTATATTTTATAGAAATGAAAAATTAAAGTCAAGAAAAGTGTCTTTGATTTAAAGAAATTATTTCTGATTTTTTTTTTTTTTTTTTGTTGCATAAAGAATTTTCTTTGATCAACAAAAAAAGTTGTTATATTGAAAAGACTTTTATTCGAATTAAAGAAATGAATTTTTATTTAAATATGCAGAATTGTTTTGTTCCAGTCAAAAAAAAAAATTTTTTAAAAAGAAGCTTTTTAAGGAGAAAACAATTTTTTTGATTTAAGCAAATTTTCCTTAAATCCCAGAAATTTGTTCTTTGAATGAAAGAAATTTTATCAATGGCATAGGGTCAAAGAAATAATTCTTTACTTTAAATAGTGAAACTTTCTTTAAAACAAATAAATTATTTTTGAAAGAAATAAATTATTCTTGAATCAAATAAATTATTTTTGAATGAAATAAATTATTCTTGAATCGAATAATTATTTTTGAATGAAATAAATTATTCTGTAATCAAATAATTATTTTTGAATGAAATAAATTATTCTTGAATCAAATAAATTATTTTTGAACCGAAGAAATTTTCTTTAAATGAAAGAAAAATTAATTTTCAATCCAAGAAACAAGTGAAAGCAAATGATTTCTTAAAATCAAGAAAAAACTTTTTTCTGTACGTATATATAAAAATAACAATAATTATTATTTTTTTCAGTGACGAGGGTGGTGAATGTAACTTAATTGGATCGAGTTTTATAGAAGGTTATAAAACATTTTGCAAACAAAATTACATTGTTCAAAAATTAGCAGTTGTCGCACACGATGGAATGTCAATCACAGAGGAATTATTTCGATTTCCAACGAGTTGCTGCTGTCACAGTCAGTTTTTGGGACATACACTTGATCGTATGGGATTTCCTTTAGCAAAGTCAAATGTCACGCCAGTGCCGAAAAAAACGTGAGGAAAAAAATTAATTTTTTTTTTACATAACATTATGACAAATTGCAAAAGAAAAATTGTTCCTAAAAAAAACCAGCTGTGAATTTCCTAGAAATTCCAAATTATTACATTTTATTTTTTTTAATGACACTTTTACGAGCACAAATTAAAGGCAGTAAAAGATATGTATATAAGAAAAAAATTGTATATACGTACATATATATATGTATTTAATAATTAAGATGAGTTTAGTTTTTTTTTAAGAGAAAAAGTTTGTCTTCTCATGAGATGCACATTCATATTACAGTGGGACATATAATGTTTTTACGTTCCATTTAAAAAAAAAAATATTTTAATATATTTATATAAGTGATAATCTTGAGATTTTGTATTTAATTACTCATAAACAAGAAATTGAATCTGGTTTTATATATACATATATATATATATATATATATATATATATATATATATATATATATATACCGGATAGTACTGAATTTATGGGTGATATTTATCTGAGAAGCAGAGTGAAATTTCAGGCTTTATATAGAAAATTTATGTGTATTTTCATGGAAACTCAAAAGATTGAATTTTGTTTATTGCTCTGTTTTTTAATTGAAACTGTGATTGAAATTTTTTAATTGATCCCTGTGTACTAACTTTCAAAAGATATACGCATATATAGATAATTTTATATCGATAAGAAAAACATTCAAGATGACTGGAATCAATGTTGTTTAATTTTTAATGATAAAATTTCCTTTTCTTTTCTTTAATAATAATAAAAAAAAGAAATTGGCATTTTGATTATAAAATTAAATACATTTTTGATATTGTCAGGCCTCGGACTCAAGTGAATATTTTTTTTATCAATTTATTCAGTAAGAAAATTAATTCTCTAGGAATAAAGATAAACCTAAAAAAAGAATAAAATTAGCAAATTAAAATGAATTCGAAATTTAAATCCATTTATATTAATTTTCAAAGACAGGGCTCGGATCGTCTTTAAGACTCAAAAAAAAGTCGCTTTAGTCGCATAAATTTACAACAAAAGTTACGAAAAGTCGCATAAAATTTTCGAAAAAGTCGAAAAAAAAGTCGCATGAAATCTTATAAAAAAAACGACAAAAAGAAAACACAAAATTGGAAAAAAATCACATTTCTCGACAACAGATACATTAATATCAAACAATCCGGAATAAAATTTTAAAAAATTAAATAAAATTCATAGCAAAATTTTAATTAGGTATTTATAACATTTTTTTTTTTAAATTCTCTTTCAAATGTCAATTATTTTTATAAATAATAAAATTCTTCTCCAAAATTAAATTATTATTATTATTATTTTCAAAATTTCTGATAAAATTCTTTGTAAAATTCAATTATCTTCAAAAGTAAGAAAATTCTTGGCAAAAATTAAATTATTTTCAAAAATGTTTTTTAAATTCTTCTCAAAATTCCAATTATGTTTATAAATATTAAAATTCTTCTGCAAAATTCAATTACTTTTAAACATTAAAAAAAATCTAAACTTTTAATCAATTTTAAAAAAATCTGTTCAATATTTCAATTATCTTTATAAATAATAAAATTCTTCTCTGAAATTCAATTATTTGCAAAGAATTTTAATAAAATTCTTGTCAAAATTTCAATTAACTTTATAAATAATAAAATTCAACCTAGAAATTCAATTATTTTCAAAATTAATAAAATTCTTCGCAGAAATTCAATTATTTTCAAAATTTTTTTTTTAATTTTTATTTAAAATTTTCATTTTTTTCATAAATAATAAAATTCATCTTGGAAATTTAATTATTTTCAAAAGTTCTGATACAATTTTTTGCAAAATTCAATTATTTTCAAAAATTTTTTTCAATTCTCCCCAAAATTTCAATTATCTTTGTAAATATCAACATTCTTCTGCAAAATTAAATTACTTACTAATGTTTTATAAATTTGTTCCCAGTAATTCAATTATTTGCATAAAAAATAATTTAAAAAATTTTTTTTTATGTCTTATAATATAAAATAATGATTTTATCACTCGGTCATCTTTAATTGTTATAAAACATGAAGACATCGATTGCTCCGAGTCGAAGACTCGGAGTGATCGATTTCTTCATGTTTTATAACAATTTTTTATAAGTTGTCTAATTTCAAAAAGGTTTTAGTTTGAATCTTTTGAAGAATTTTAATTTCTATGGAAAAATAATAATTAAATATTTATTTAAAAAAGAAGTTATTGATGTTTTTGAAAAATATGCAAGAAATTTGTAAATAAATGTAACAGAACATTTTTTTGACTCAAACTTTTCCCTATTTAAAAAAAAAATTTTTTAATTTCATTCGCATTTTACTAAAAAAAATCTCGAAAAAGTCGATTAGTCGCATTTTTTCACAAAAAAGTCGCACAATCCGAGCCCTGCAAAGAGAATCAAAATGGACGTGATATTCTCCACCTGCGAACGCCAAGGTCACCGCTAGATGGTAGTTGAGTTTTTTCTTGGAATTTTTACTGACACCTGGTGGTGACCTTGGCGTTCTCAAGTGAACAAATTAAACCATTTTCTAAATTAAGTCCGAGGCGTGTATTTTACAATTAAATAAAATTTTTATCATTGCAATTAAATAAATTTTTACTATTACAATTAAATAAGTTTTTAACTTTTTTAAAATTAAATAAATTTTTCTATTAAAATTATATGCATTTTTACCTTTTTTAAAATAAAAACTTTACTAAAAGTTTACCTGTTTGAAAATTAAATAATTTTTTAATACCATTTCAATGAAATAAATTATTGTAATATTAAAAATTTCTTTTCGAAATTTGAATTATTAATGCAAAAATAAATTTTCCTTTTGCACTGAAAATTTTTTGAATACTGGCATGCTATATATTTATAGGGAAACATAAGCATGTAGCTAAAAACATATGCGCAGAAAACTCTTGAATCTCTTTCTTGGAAACTCTCTTTTATCGAAATAGGGAAAAATATTGTATCAAAATGAGATAAGACGAATTCAATCCATGAAACGTAAGTAGAGCGTTAAAGGATATCATTTTCATATATTTCCTATTTGTACAATATTCTGTGTAAAAAAAAAAGATAAAGAAAGTCATAGAAAAATTTTATGCAAAAATTTCTTTGCTTGAAAAATAAATTTTCAATTTTTTTTTTTTTTTTTTGTTGATTTATTTAAAATGAAGCTTTGAAATTTGAATTTTTGTTGGAATTTCCCGTTTGAAATATTTGAATGATATAAATGGTTATACTGCATTTATATACAGTAAGAAAAGCTATCCGTCAGTCATAGGAAAGTATGGGAATCGCATAAGTCTGTCTCACTCCCACTCATGGGATATGACTGACGTGCTAGGTTTTCGTACTGTATATAAATATTACGATTTTGTTTTTGTAAATTGAAAGAAAAAGAATCAAATAATGTAAATGTATAGATTAAATTTCTCTTTATGTGATATTACAACTAATTAGTTTGAATCAGAATATTATTATTTACTGTGAAAATATTTTATGTTCATAGAGTTCTGAATGTTCAAATGAAGGAAATTTTAAAAAATTGAAAAAAAAGAATTGTCTAAAATTCAAATTTTAATATCATAAAACTGCGAAAATAATTTTAAAAACAGTTTCAAAATTATTTTTTTCTAAATATTTTTCTTTAGTATTTACTCTCAAACTAGAAATTAATCACAAAAATTAAATGTGACTCGTTGGAAAGGTAAACATTTTATGTTATGTTTATAATTTTTGGTGAATAAAAGTGAAGAAATCAAAGTGTAATTAATTTTTAATGTTAAAATTTGTAGACAAAACATTTCGGTTTATTTGAACATTCAAAACTTGTGGTTCATTTTTGAAATAAATTAAATGATTGTATTTCTTATACACTTATTCTTAAAGTCTATATTATGTTAATAAATAATAATTAATTAGATGTAATAAAGTATATGATTAAATGTTTATAAATATCGTCGAAGAAAATGTGTATGTTTTCTTAATTCTTATTTTCTTTTTGGTGTCATAATATAAATATAATTGCATTCCATCTGATTTGATGCTTATTTAATTAATTATGTATATACATTTGAATCGTGAACGTTAAGGACCTCAAAGGAGTAACATCCCGAGGATCGATGTTTGACGTTTCAACGCTTTAATCACAAAATTTTGCATTTGCGATGAAACACTTTGGTAAATACAGTGGAAATCGATGAGAAAGTCTATTTTACAACGAAATGGTTTGCTTTTAATCAATTTTCAAATGAAGGACTTTTCATGTTATCGGCTTTTAACTTTTAATCAAAAAGGAAGAAAAAAAAATGTTTCAACTAGAAATAACCAGAATTCTAGGCATGCTTAATATTTCATTCAGGCGTGTGCTTCTTTTGCAAAAATATTTTGAATTATTCTTTTTTTTCAATTCTTCATTTTTTTGGCGAAGTGATAAATTTTTAGAGAAATGATTTCTTTTTTCAGGAACCTTTTTCAAGATTTTGACATAATTTGTGAATTAGATATATATTTTTATTATATAATTTCTTATTAATATACGAATTCAAATTTTCGTTTTTTGAATTTCGCGCCAATAGTTCTTCAAATTGCCGCCTAGATGGCATGAAAGTTCTCTCACAAACGAAATGGGTATGTTTTCGTTGCCTGCACTAAGTGTAACTTTTACACCACCTCAAGAGTAGGTGCAGAAAGTGTAGCGAAATGTATGGTAAAATTACGTCACATCCGGCAAAGAGAATAGCAATAATAATAAATAAATAAATTTTTGTTAATGGATGCATTGAGAGCAAATGGAAAAAAATTATTCTATTTATTTTAATCTATTAAACTTTTATTCCATACTATTTTTCGAAAATGAAATTTATTTCCTTTAACTTTTTACGTCATAATTTTTTGTTTATATATTTTTTTTTAAATCATTCGCTTGACTGTCATAAAAGTAAATAATTATTTTGCAAAAAAAAAAGTAAAGTACACTCTAGAGTAGAAAAATCACTTTGAAATAAAAACTCTCTTCTTTGGAAAATATAACAATTAATAAAATTTACAATGATAATTATTGTTTTACGCACTTGTACGATTCATAAATTGAAATTTACGTCATATTCAGATGTGACGCCTATACTTCAGTATTTTAACTAATTAGACGAACTAATCAATCAATAGTATAAACACGTTAACTCGATATAATTAAACATTTAATTAATTAATCATTTTGCAATTAAAACAAAATTAATATTTCATTATTGAAAAGCGGGGGGATTTTTCTTTTTTGGTTAAATGAAATTTGAATAATATAAGAAAAAAAAATAGAGATAAAAATTGAGATATAAATTTTCAATGTAAGAATATTTTTGAAATTATATGTAGTGTGTGGAATTTTAAGGAAATAACCCAAGACAACCCTCGCGTATGAATTTCATGTTCTTAATTAGCTTCCGTTTAATTTATTCTGAAATTCGAAGCTCTTGATCGATAGTAATTACATAGAATGTTGTAAACTTTCGACAAAATTTCAGAAATAGGTTTTGCATTACCTACTTGCTTTTCATTATAAATATCTTTTGCAATTTTCTATAAAATAGAAATTCTTTATAGATTTAAAAAAAAGAAATAAAAATAAGAAGAGAAATTCTTCAGAGAAATTCAATTATTTTTAAAAACTTCCAACAAAACATTTCTCAAGTTTTAATTATTTTCATAAATAATAAAATATTTCACTAAAATTCAATTATATTTAAAAAATTTCATAAAATTCTTCGCTGGAATTGAATTTATTTCCGATAAAATTATAATTCAATTCTTCGACAGAATTCAATTTTCAAGCAATTTAAAATTTCTCGAAACAATTCAATTATTTAAAAATTTTTTTTTTCATTTTCCCCCTAAAATTCAATTATTTTCCTTAAAAAATAAAAAAATCTTTGAAAATATTCAATTATTTCCTTAAAAAATATAAAAATCAATTATTCTCATAAAATTGAGTAAAATTTTTCACAAGAAATTAATTACTTTCATAAATAATTAAATTCTTCTCAAGAATTCAATTATTTTCATAAATAATAAAATATTTCAAAGAAATTCAATTATATTTAAACAATTCCATAAAATTCTTTACAAAAATCCAATTACATTTATAAATATGTAATAAAATTCTTCGCTGGAATTGAATTTATTTCCAATACAATTTTAATTCAATTCTTCGAAAAAATTTAAGTTTCAAACAATTTAAAATTTTTTGAAACAATTCAATTATTTTTAAAAATTTTAATAAAACTTTTCATCCAAAAATTCAATTATTTCCTTAAAAAATATAAAAATCTTTAAAAATATTTAATTATTCTCCATAAAATTTAGTAAAATTTTTCACAAGAAATCAATGACTTTCATAAATAATTAAATTCTTCTCAAAAATTCAATTATTTAAAAAAAAATTAATTAAATTTTTTGCGAGAATTAAATTATTTTCATAAATAATAAAATATTTCACAGCAATTCAATTAAATTTAAAAAATTTCATAAAATTCTTTACGAGAATTCAATTACTTTTATAAATAATAAAATTCTTCGCTGGAATTGAATTTATTTCCAATACAATATTTTAATTCGATTCTTTCGAAAGAATATAATTTTCAAATAATCTAAAATTATTCAAAACAATTCAATTATTTTTAAAAATTTAAACAAAACTTTCCCCAAAAAATTCAATTATTTCCTAACAAAATATAAAAATCTTTAAAAATATTTAATTATTCTCAAAAAATTTAATAAAATTTTTCACAAGAATTCAAAATTACTTTCATAAATAATTAAATAATTCTTTTCAATTATGTTTAAAAACTTTCATAAAATTCTTTACGAGAATTCAATTACTTTTATAAATAATAAATTTCTTCGCTGGAATTGAATTTATTTATTTATTTAGTATTTATTTATAATAATAATAATAATCACAAGTGGTACAAAATATGAGAATAGAAAAAAAAAATTTACAATATTATAATAAATACAATTACGCATGTTCTTTGACTTATTATAAGTGCTAACAGGCGGAGATTTGCTAATGAGCTTTACGGGCTTATAAATATTGAATAAAGAATAACAATAAAATTTGTAAAATCTAGCTATAAAATAAGAAAAGGGGATAAAAAAGCAATAAGTAAAACCACCAGAATACCCTGCTCATACAACCACATTCAATCGTTCCAATAAAATGGATGACAGTAATATAACAAATTTTTTCACAGTTTTTGTATTTTGCGAGGATAAAACATTCAACCAGGCAGTCATCTTATCATTTTCCCGTACAATTTCCGGAAAAGCTCTCTCGCATAAATGTGCACACGCAGGACAGTCAATTAATATATGAAACAGGCTCTCTTCCTCCCGCCTGCATGAGGGGCAAATTTGTACTGAGTTAAACTCATATTTTGAGCGACCCAAAAATACTCTACAATTGTATTTGTTTAAAAGTCTAATTTGTGCAAATATTTTTTTGAAGTGTAACGAGAGCCTTGAAAAGAGGTATTGTTGGGTCTTATTTTGAAGCAAGAGATGAGGGTATACCAATAAGCTACTCGATTCCATATATTGCTGTCTATCACGAAAACGGAGAAACCTTTCGTAGTCCCGCAGAATAGCCTCCCGGTTTGCACATACAGTGTCCAGAGATAGGGTTCGCCATACATCAGGCTGATCCCCCCCCTCGAAAAACGCGCTTAATTGCGAAAACCAGTTGGGCCTTGCACCGTGTCTCCCCAAAGCTAATTCTCTGAGTTTTTCAAAACACTGTCTGGGGAACCTAGATTCAGCCATTGAAGAAATTTTGCAGATCCAGTTCAGTGTGATGGTTAAAACTCTATGAGAAAGATGAAGTGACCCAGTTTCAAGCCTGACCGCGTAGTTCGGCGTATTAATAGGAAGCGATAAAAGGTTTTTAATGAAAGATAGTTGAACTTTTTCCAGAGATTCAAGAAAGTTAATACCCCATGTTTGGACACCATACAAGAGTATGCTCACAGCGAGGCTCTGAAACAGTTTATCATAGGAACTCCAGGTGTCCATTCCGAGGGAATAAATTGTCCCCAGAATAGCCCCGGCCGCTGATTTTGCCGCACTAACAGATTTATTTGCCGCCGGAAGGAAGGAACCCATGTCATCAAAAATTACCCCCAAGTACGAGTACTCCCTTACTACTTCAATTCTCTCCTTGCCGTAAGCAAATGATTTAAATCTCCTGGCCGAGGAGTTTCCCGATCTGGTAAAAATGACAATTTTCGTTTTATTAGTGTTAACTTTTAGATCATTTTCCTCGCAATAATCGCACAGCGCAGACAGTTTTTTGTTTAGTTCCAGAGGAGAGTCCGCCAGGATGACGTAATCGTCAGCATAACCCAACATAACTATTTTTTGTAATCTATTGATAGACAGACCTCTGCAATCCCTTTCCACAAAATACTGTTCAAAATCACTGAAGAAAAGCAAAAATAAAAGCGGACTTAATACTTCACCCTGTAGGACTCCCCTGGTGATTTCAACGAAGTCTGTACAACCATTTTGTGTTTTTATACAGGTAGAAGCGTTCATGTAGAACCGAGATAGGATGTTAATCATTTTTGTGCTCAATCCCAACTCTCCAAGTTTTCTCCATAAAAGCTTATGTGAAATGGATGGAAAGGCACCTTTAAAATCAACGAACGCGGCATAAACAACCGAACCCTTATTGGACAAATGAATTTGAATTATAGACATCAAAGCAAAGAGATTGTCCTGACAACTTCTTCCCTTTCTGAATCCGGATTGTGACTCCGGAATCAGATCGCGATCCGTAGCCCAGGTCACAAGTCGATCATAGATAAGATGTGTAAAAGCTTTTGGCAAACAGTTAACTAGTGCGATCGGCCGGTGATTTTCGGGGTTGTCAGTTGCGCCCTTTTTATGCAGCATAATTGTAAAAATTTTTCCCCACTCGTCGGGAATAGTTTCGGTGCTTAAGATCAAATTGAAAAAACGTTCCATAAAGAATATCCAATTTTGAG